CATTAACATGATTTAAAAGCTATGGTAAATTTCATGAGTTGTACTGGGACCAATTTACTTGGATGGGTGATTGTCAAAGTAAATAGAGGTTATAAACTATGCTACATAACAAGACTAAGACAGAACAAATCAGTAGGTTCTAAATAAATAATTTGATAAAGATGCTGACTACTGCAAAATCAACTCTGATGGCCAATTAAATACAATATCCACTTTATTTTATTTATTATTTTTGATAATCCTCACTATTTTTTCCCATTGCTTTTCAGAGAGAGTAGAAGGGAAGGACGGAGGAGCAGAGAAAGGGAGATGTGGGGAGAGGGAGAGAGGAAAAAAAAAAGAGAGAGAAACATTGATGTGAGAGAGAGACATCAACTGGTTGCCTCCTGCAGGTGCCCCAACTAGGGTATGGGGAGCAAAAACTATAACCCAGGTTATGTGCCCTTGACTGGGAATCGAACCCAGGAGCCCTCAGTGTGTGGGCTGACACTCCAATCACTGAGAGTCCCTGGCAAGGACCAATGTCCATTTTATAAATGTCATAGGTTTATTAAATTAAATAAGTCTTTTAGTCTTTCATAATGTCTGAAAACATAAACTTAATTAAGTAAACCCTGGCCATAAAAGAGGAGCACTCTAGAGTGTTTTGTGAGTCAATCTGGTTTGATAATCAAAGCTTATCCCATCTCAAAGAAAATGTGGGCTTATTCCTTTCTGACCTTAGTTTACTCTAATGTACTATCATTCTCACTACACGATCATGTAGGGGGGAAAAAGCTTCACCTTAAAAATAAAAAGCATATCATAGTCATGTGCCTTTTTCATGGTGCTTTTAAGACCATTAAATGAGATAGTATTTCCAATGGTGTCTGAAACTGCAATTTCATAGTTAGCTGCTTTGATATTTCCTTGATATTTGTCACCATTTTGGGCAGTGTTCAATCAGAGAAACTATATTACATATTTTTAACATACATGAATGAAAGCTCTTTTTCAAAGGAGTAAGACAGTAAAGGCAAAATTTTAAGAACATCTTGTAAAGGTAGATTTATAGAAAACATAATGTTTTATATTTTCAGGGTTATGGTTTTATCTGTAAGAGCTATTTCTTTTTTATTTACAGTTATAATTACATCACAAAAATTTAAAGAAGAATATAAAAAAGAATACTGTCATTAAATACCAGATTTTTCCTGAGTGTGCCTGAGGAAGGCAGGTTTTATTAGATATTTGAAATGTTTCTTAGGAATGTCCACAGGTTTTATTAGATATTTGAAATGTTATATGGAAACAATCACTTTTCCCCGCTTCCAAGAGTACTATTGGTGACAAATGTTTTCTTAAAAACATTTTCCCTATAAAGCATTTTTCATCTATGATCTAAATAACTCATCTCCTCCATATGAATTTCCCATTCTTGAGAAAAATTATTTCACTTTAGGGTCTCAGTGTCCATTAGTGCTTTTTAAAAATATGAGTCATTACCCCATTAGTGGGGCACAACTAGTGTTACCTAATAAAAGAGAAACATGCAAATTAACCATCACTCTGCTACGCCCACAGCCAATCAGAGTGAGTATGCAAATTAACCCAACAAAGATGAAGGTTAATTTGCGTATCCAGACACAGAGCATTGTGAAGCCTGTGGGAAGGGAAGGGTGGTGGAAGGGAGCTACTGGAATGCTGGTTCCCAGGCAGCTGAGGAGCAGGAATGTGCCAGCTGGGAGTGAATCCAGGGGCTGATTCTTGCACGAATATTGTGCAATGGACCTCTAGTATTTTTATAAAATAAAATGGAATTGACTCAATTTGAGTAGAAAAATATAGAGGACAAGACATATTGTAAGGCTAGTTTTTACATTTTCAGCTTTAAGTATATGTTTACATATTGTTTGATGATGTAAAATGTATTCATTAGTATGGCTGCAAGCAGAAAACTTTAAAAAATATTGTTCTAAAGAATCGTTAGTACCTTCTAAGCCAGTGGTTCCCAAACATTTTTTTGGCCATGCCCCAACTAAGCAGCTCTAAAATCCTGATGCCCCTCTCCATGTGACATATTACTCTTATTATTCAACAAGTGAACTCCTATTCACATGGAGGAAGCCTAAAAGGCCATTACTTGGTCTAAACAAGCTTTCAAAGAACATGGCATCTATGAAAGAATTAAATAAAATAACTAAGAACTTGTTAAAAAAGGAAAATAAAGTTTCATAGCATATAATAGAGAACTGAAATGCATAAATGCCACAAGATCCTTAGAACCATAAGAAATGCAAAAAATTCATTGTTAATAACTCATTTTTGAATTGCCCCTCTTAAAAATCAAACTGCCTCCCTGTGGGATATGCCTCACAGTTGGGAACTACTATTCTAAGCCTACAATGAGATTACACTATATTTCAGCTCAAAAATTCTGAAAATGAGCTTTTTCAACCTAAATTCAAATATGACTTATTGCCTAATAGACAATAAGTAGCTAGCTAAAAGGGCATTTAAATGACTATAAAATATTTACACCCTCAATTAGTTGTAACCATTAATTGATATCCATTGTACATTTTAAAAAGAAATCTTCTTGGCCTTTTACCACCTCAAAAAGTCCAACAAAATGTTGGGCGTCAACAATTTAGTACAAATATTAATTTGTATGTGTATGCCATAAGATGGGAGAGGTAAAACTAATTGGCTGCTTTTTTTTTTTTTTAACTCTACTTTCTTGGCTTGTGGGATAGGACTCTTTTTTTCTTTCTCAATGTTGATTGCCTCTTTTCATGAACTCTTAATTATGTCTGTTATGCAGGACTTTTTAGCCTTCTTTTCTCACTTTACATATCTCCCCTCCCCCTTTATAATTTCCTGTTCTCATTGCTTTAAATTCTAAATATATGCTTATGACTTTCCCATTTTTGGCTTCTAGTTCTGACATATTTCCCTGGCCAGTTCCAAAGGTTCCTGATAGCAATTTGCCAGGTGGGAAAGGTAGGAAAGGAAGTTCCCTTGTGAGGTTAAGAAGAACGAAGTGTAGGGTTTGCTATGGTTTCATTTATTCATAAGCATTTATATATTGGCTGCTCTCATGTAGTTTCAAATCTAGAGTGACAGGCAGACGGATCCTAGGATATGGGGTGCCACAAAGACATTTAATGAGACATAAAGAAGCTCTAGGGCACAGGTATTGTCAATTTAAGAAACATTCAAACCCGTGAAGAATTTTAATGAACTTATTTGAGCTAAACTGTGGACAACTACTGGAAAGCAAAATCTCAACAGATTGAGATAATGCTCTGAGAATGGCCGTTTTGCACCTTATTTTGTACATTACAATCAATATGGGGGTTTCATGAAATCCATTGGTGATAGATTAGGGAGGTGGGAGAAAGCAAAGTGGGGAAACCTTTGCTTTCTCCCACCTGGGAACTGGATGAAAAGTAAAACAATAGACCAGCGGTGGGCAAAGTCATTAGTCTACAGAGCCAAATATCAACAATACAGCGAATGAAATTAATTTTGAGAGCCAATTTTTTTAAACTTAAACTTCTTCTAACGTCACTTCTTCAAAAATAGACTCTCCCAGGTCGTGGTCTTTTGTGGAAGAGCCACACTCAAGGGGCAAAAGAGCCGCAGTTTGCCGTCCATGGTGATAGACACATGTTTCTTTGACATAGGTGGGTATGCATAGGATCATTAACAGTCAATAATTAATAAGTGAGAGGATCTGTGGTCTCCCCAGAGCGGCGCCTATGCTTTGAGCAGTCCAGGGAAAAGGAAAATGACTGTTGGCATTGCAACGATATGTTATTGCGGATGCAAAAAGACAACAGACAGCCTCAGTGAAGGTCAAGGCAGACCTGTGTCACCGAAGCTACCCACCTAGGACAGGACTACCCACCATACACTGCTTAGTTAGAACAGTTTTCATTCCAGGCCATCTTTTGAGGCTCCCTGAGGTCTCTGAGTTTGCAGGCCTTGGCTGAGGTGGTCAGGTTAGCATGCGGCCCCTTTTGGTCCACAGTAGGTAATAGGCAAAGGCCGAATCCCACCTGGTCCCTTAAAGAGACTTAAGGAAAAACTTAGAGCGTATCAGTTTATAAACATTAAAAAAATAAATAAATGGAGCCGAAACCGGTTTGGCTCAGTGGATAGAGCTCAGCCTGCAGACGTAAGGGTCCTGGGTTCCATTCTGTCAAGGGCACATGCCTTGACTGCAGGCACATCCCCATTAGGGGTGTGCAGGAGGCAGCTGATTGATGTTTCTCTCTCATCCATGTTTCTAGTATATGTGCGAGCACTCATCGATGTTTCTAACTCGCGCTCCCTCTCCCTTCCTCTCTGTAAGAAATCAATACAAAAACATATTAAATAAATAAATAAATGGAGAGAGATAATAAATAAATAAGTAAATAAATAAATAAATAAATGGAGAGAGATAATAAATAAATAAATAAGTAAGTAAATAAATAAATGGAGAGAGATGCCGCTGAGGAAGAAGCAAAGTTGGGGACCAATGAAGGGCAGAACCTGGCGCTGCAGCAAGGTCGTGGGAACGAGGAACTGACAAGGGAGTAGGAAGAGAACGAACACACCCCCGTGGAGAAAAGCGAACCACGGGAAGTGCACACGTTTAAAAGAAACCCCCTCCACGCAAACTCCACCTTAAAACACACACCTGGCGCCCATCCAGCTCAGCCGCCGGGCGTCCTCCACCTCCCAGCGCCGCGGGCCCCGCCCAGCTCGCCCCGCCCCGCCCCCTCGCCCGGCGCGGGCGTCCTCCCCGTCCCGGCACCGCCCGCGCGCCGCCCAGCTCGCCCCGCCCCCTGGCCCGACAGCTCCTCCCCTCCGCAAAGCCGCGTGCACGTGCGCGGCGAATCCCGCCCCTTGCGCCTTCCCAGCCAATGGGAAGTGGTGTCGTAATTCGCCGTCGCCGCTGCCCGGCCCAGGTCACGTGACCGCGTGTCCCCGCCCCCTCCCCCCCGCAGCTGCCTCCAGGTTCTGAGAAGATGGCGAAGGTGTCAGAGCTTTACGATGTCACTTGGGAAGGTAACAGCAGGCGGAGCGGGCGCGGGGAGACCCAAAGCCTCCGGGGACGGGTGCGGGGCACCTGATGCCCTTGCAGAGCCGAGTTCTCTGCTCCGTCTTCCCGCGCGGCAGCTCTCTGAAGGGCTGAGTTGAGGTGGTGGCCCAGGAGGAGAAGGAGGAGGTGGAGATGGAGGCTGACCTGTGTCTTGCGTGGCCCGGCCACCCGCCGGTGTCAGCGCTTGTGTTCATCGATATAGACCAGTTCAGAGGTCCAGGGCAGCTTCTCTTTGGAGGCGGGAGGGACCTGGCGCTGCTGGGCGGCGCGGGGAGGGCGGGATGGGTTCCTGCAGCCGAGAAAGACAGGACCTGGGAGGCCCTTGTATGTATTGAGTGCTGGGTAGTCAGGCTTGCAACTTTGTGCAGAAAGGGTGTGTGGGAGACCCATGAACAGATCTCCTTCTTCTGCAGGCCACTTGACATCTCGTTTCCTCTTCAAAGCTGAATTTCTGATATCTTCCCTTTTTCTTAAAATATTTTATTGATTTATTACCGAGAGGAAGGGAGAGGGATAGAGAGTTAGAAACATCGATGAGAGAGTAACATCGATCAGCTGCCTCCTGCATATTACCCACTGGGGATGTGCATGCAGCCAACGTACATGCTCTTGACCGGAATCGAACCCAGGACTCTTCAGTCCGCAGGCCAGTGGCGCTCTATCCACTGAGCCAAACCGGTTAAGGCTCTTCCCTTTTAATTTAATTTAATTTAATTAACTTATTTAAAATATATTTTATTGATTTTTTTACAGAGAGGAAGAGAGAAGGATAGAGAGTTAGAAACATCAATGAGAGAGAATCATCGATCAGCTGCCTCTTGCACATCGCCTGTTACTGGGGATGTGCCCGCAACAAAGGTTCATGCCCTTGACCGGAATCAAACCTGGGACCTTTCAGTCTGCAGTCCGATGCTCTATCCACTGAGCCAAACCGGTTTCAGCCTCTTCCCTTTTTAATTACTCCTTGCTCCACTCCTCCTCGGAACACATTTACATCCACAGCAGAACCTACTTCTTACTCCCACAGGAATGTCTTTTCTAAAGGGAAGAAGGACTCGTATCCTGGACATGCGCTCAAGCGTGATGGACTTTTTCCCCATCCTCGTTTAATGTAAGGTGGTGAAGTGTGCTCTTTAAGACTGGAGGCAAACTTTAGACCCGTTTTGTAACAGATTTTTTTCCCTCCTGAAAAACTAGAGCGGGGAAAGATGCTTGAAAGAAGAGCCTTAAGTTTCTCTAACGCATGAAAAAATAGGTCTATTTGAAATTCATATTCCCAGCGTCTAACAGGAGACGTAAGCAGCTTATGTGTACAAGGAATGCCTTGTTCCAGGGCTTAACCAATGGCCTGATAGCAGGTGTACAGAAAGTTATATTCACCCAGGGTGAATAAACATCTCCAGGATTACAGAGTTGCAAACTTGTATGGGAAAAGGTGAAATTCCGTTATACTTGAACCGAATTCAGTGATTTTGTGGCCTCTTGCCCACTGTGAATCTCCGTGTTTCTACCCGTATCAGGGAATCCCATGATATTAAACAAGAAAAGTGCTTAGTGCTGTATCTTGAATATTAAGCAGCAGGCAGTCCCTACCTTCATGGAGTTCACAATCTAATGAGGACAAACATGTCCATATGTAGTTTTAAAAGGCTTCTCAGGACATATTTCTTAAGTTGGATGGCAGATAGGTGGCTTTATTTTTAATGTTTTTTTTTTTAATGTTTCAAATATGTCATGCTTTTTATTTTTAGAAAGTGCTGTTTGGAAACTATGTTCAATATAAGTTTCTTAGATGATAGTATCATGTATATAATCTTAAGGAATGAATAGGTGTGTACCATCAGACACGGTGATTTAACTAAGTCACTTGGACTACCCTGTGGGCAGTCTAGAATAATAACTATTTCATAAGTTTGTTGAGGAACAAGAGAGAAAACACGAGAAAGTGCTTTTAAACTAAGTACTATATAGTTAAGATGATTTGGTTCCCACCTAAGTCTCTAGCTTTGTCTTGAACCCGTGGCCAGCAAACTGCGGCTCTCGAGCCACATGCAGCTCTTTGGCTCCTTGAATGTGGCTATTCCACAAAATACCCCGGTCTGGACAAGTCTATTTTGAAGAAGTGGCATTAGAAGAAGTTTAAGTTTAAAAATTGGCCCTCAAAGAAAATTTCAATCTTTGTACTGTTGATATTTGGCTCTGTTGACTAATGAGTTTGCTGACCACTGTCTTAAGCTATTCTCTTTCAGAGCTGACAGTGCTGCCTTTTGTTGAATTCCCTAAATGTGCCATGCTCCTCTTGTATTAGGGTTGGACAGGAGCTGTTCCTTCCACCAGGAGTGTTCTTTCCTCATTGTCCCACTCTTGTTCCCATTATACTTTATCATTTCTCAGCATTGCCCCTCAACAGTCATATATTTTAGAGAGTTTTCCTTGACCATCCCACAGCCTTCCCCATCCCTCCATCAAAATTTTAAAAAGGGAGAGAAAAAGAACAAAAACTAAAAAGCCACGAAATCTACCCTTCATCCTTTAAACTGTGTGTTTTTATACTCTTGAAGTGCTTACCCAATTGTGTTAAGTTGTAACATTTTTTCTCCTAGAATGAAAGGAGGGGCCAGGCCTCTTGTTCTAGTGCCTGATTTATGAGAGGAACTCTATTTGCTGACTAAATGAATTGTTAATTAGATTAATAATAAACATTAATAAATTGTTACCAAAAAAAAACTAAATTTTTCTAGTGTTGGAATAATTTCTTTATATAGTCCTATGACCTAGGTCAGTCGGACCTAGGTCCTCAAGAATTCCTTTGAATCATATAATGAACCAAAGTTGTGGAAATGGTTAGTTCCAAGAGTACTGTTGATCTCGTTGTAGGAAAAGTGATCACATGTTTATAAAAGACCTATATAGTATATCTAACATTCTCCTAGTTTCTATTAGGTTCTATAGAAAAAGTAGAATATATGGTTTATTTATTCAGCCAGTTGAAAATTATTGAAATTTATTAGAGGAGTTATTATTTAGTGATTTGGAGGTGGGACAGTTATAAGGAGGGTTCATTGAAGTTAGGGTATTTGGGCAGGTTATGGGTAGGATACCTAGCACAATGCCATTCATTACTTTTTAAGATGGTTGTGTTATTTATAATATATTTGTAGTCTAACAAAGGATCTGTCTTTCTTATTAAATTGGTATTCTGCTTTATGAACTTAGAGATACATGGCCTTTTATATTAGTGTGAGTTTATTTTATCAAAAAAGTTGACTTCATTTTAGTAATTTTGACATTGATCAAATATATACATATATATATATATATATATATATATATATATATATATACACACACACACACACACACACACACACCATAACAAGTTTTGTGTTTTCAGAAATGCGAGATAAAATGAGAAAATGGAGAGAAGAAAACTCAAGAAATAGTGAGCAAATTGTGGAAGTTGGAGAGGAATTAATTAATGAATATGCTTCTAAGCTTGGAGATGATAGTAAGTTTTTTTTCAATTTATTTATGTTTGGCACATATCTATTACCATTCTTAGTTGTGTGTTTTTTTAAAATCTTATTTTTTTTAGTGTTTATAGCAATTTATCTGTGATTGTCACTTTTGAAAAACTTCTCAGGAAGATTAATGATTCTTTATTTTGAGAAGGCTTTATAATTTCTGTTAGTAGTAAAGCTATCAAATAGGTGTTTTTATTTTAAAGCTCAAAAGGCTGCAGTCCTGGTCTGGTCAAAATGTATTTCATAAAGAATCCTTTAGAACAGTAAATGTATTAGATAATTGGAACTTTTTTTTTTTTTTTTACTTGATAAGATACCGAAGTATTTTACATTGCTGAAGCATATAAGAATACCTTCTTTTCTTAATTGCTGATAAAATACAGTAAATCAATTTTCAGTTATAAGTACTTTTCTCTAAAATACCAAACAGGAAGAATTCATTATCTAGTTTTTGTTGAGAGATTTTATAGTAAATTTAGTTTTTTTTTTCTCTATTTATCTAGTTTGGATCATATATGAACAGGTGATGATTGCAGCTCTAGACTATGGTCGGGATGACTTGGCATTGGTAGGTATTTAAACTAATTTTATCTTATATTTAATATACTTTGTGGATTATATGTATAAGACTTAGTATATTGCTTGTATAGAATGCTTTCTATAGCTGGTTTTCAATGCTATTCTTAAGGATAGGTAGGCCTAACTAGGTACTTTGAACACAGTATGTTCTTTTTAACAATCATGAGAAGTAGATATTTAGTATTCCAGTTTTACTGAAGAGGATAAATTAGTTGAAGGTTATCTGCTTACTGGGTGAATTATGCTGTATTGTAGAGTATGTAATGAGAAGTAGATAGTTTAAAACAAGTTTATCTTTTGGGTTATTGAATATCTTTCAATAGTATATGTTGTTAAATAATGTTTTGTAATATTGTAAATGTATATCTTAAACTATCGGGTCTAGTAATAATTAATGTCGTTTTTAAAACGTTCGTTTAAAATCTTGCTTGGCGTTGACTTGTATTGACATAACCTTCAAACACGTGGTATCTACAGAACTTGTGAAGTGCAATTAATGAGTTTTGCTTGAAAAAGTTTGTGTTTGGTTTGGTTTTTGTTGCAAAACTAGGGCTAAGAAGATGGCGGATGAAGAGCATATTCGGTACTGCATGCTTTACGAGTTCCAATTAGGAAGAAAAGCAAGTGAGGCTGCAAAAAACATCTGTAGTGCTCTTGGTCAAGATGCAGTTAGCGCCAGAAAATGCCAGCGTTGGTTTGAGAAATTTCGCGAGGGAAATTTTTCGTTAGATGACAAGAGTGGTCGAGGCCGTGTGTCCAATTTTGATCAAGAAGCTCTTCAAGCTCTTTTGGTGCAAAATCCTCAAATTACCCAACAAGAGCTTGCGACAACTTTAAATTGTTCACAAAAAACAATTTCCAATCAATTGCGTGCACTTGGCAAAGTCCGAAAGTTTGGAAAATGGGTTCCTCATGAGTTGACCGACAACAACCGTAATCAAAGAGTAACAATTTGCAGTTCGCTCCTCTCTCGTCAAAACCGTTTGCCGTTTTTAGAGCAAATTGTTATCAGAGATGAAAAATGGGTGCTGTATGTTAATTTGAAAAGGCGGCCTCAATGGTTGGACAAAAATGAGGCTCTGCAGCCCACGCCAAAACCTGACTTGCATGCGAAAAAAGTGATGTTGTGTGTTTGGTGGAATTTTAAAGGAATTCTTCATTATGAACTTTTACCATCTAACCAAACCATTACAAGTGCAGTGTATAGTGCCCAATTGGAAAGGTTAGCCCAAGCTTTAAGAGAAAAAGAACCCGCGCTGATTAATCGGAAGGGCGTAATTCTTCACCACGATAACGCACGACCGCATACTGCAAGAATCACTGCTGAAAAACTGCGCCAGTTGGAATGGGAAGTTCTCCCTCAACCTGCATATTCTCCTGATATTGCCCCTTCCGATTACCATTTGTTTCGTTCTTTGCAAAACTTTCTTCTTGGAAAAAAATTTAATAATGAAGAATGCCTCAAAAATGCATTGACCGAATTTTTGGCATCAAAATCACAAGAATTTTACAACAGAGGGATTAAAATGCTTCCTGAGCGTTGGGCACAAGTAGTAGAAAACAACGGCAACTATATTGTTGATTAAATTTTGTTGTATTGTTTAAATAAATTCGATTTAAAAAAGTTAGAAAACGACATTAATTATTACTAGACCTAATATTAGAAAGTCCTAATATTTGCACAGTATGACTTAAATTACTAATGCTGCTTTTATAATAGAGAATGATAATAGCTATATTGTGATCCCCTATCTGCTAGGTACTATGCTAAATGCTTTACATCATGCTTTCTTTAATTTTCACAATTTGTTGTTGTTTTTTTTTCTTACCTGAGGACATTTTTCCATTGGTTTTTAGGGAGAGTGGGAGGGATGGGAAAAGAGACAGAGAGAGAAACATTGATGTGAGAGAGACATCTGTTGGTTGCCTCCCACACACACCCTAGCCAATTTGGCTCAGTGGATAGAGCATCAGCCTGTGGACTGTAGGATCTCCAGTTCAGTTCCCATCAAAGGCCCTTACCTACGTTGCAGCCTTCTCCCAGCCCCAAATCAGGATATATGTACTGACAAGAATATTAATATAAAATTTCAACGGAGAAATATTAAGTATTAGTAGTAGTTGCCAGGGACTTGAAAGTACTACCAAAGAACTTATTTTTTATCTAAAGAATCTTTATGCATAGTTAGGAAGAAAATGCCAGGAAATTGTAGATATTTAAATGTTGTTTGACACATTATGTAAGCAATTTTTGAGAAGTAATATAGTGATAGTATTTGAAGTTATTAGTGGTCACATGATCTGGTTATATTCCTACTTATTAGAATGATTAGTGCCTGAGCACTGATGATTGCTCTCACTGTAATTTCATATTTCTCCTTTTACCCCATTATTCATTAGATTAATATCACTTCTACATTAAAGACTTAATGTAGGTCATTATTTGTAGCTCATTTAGTATATATAATATAATTACTATTTTTCAAGTCTTGTTTACCAATTATTTTTTTAGTTTTGTCTTCAGGAGTTGAGAAGACAGTTTCCTGGCAGTCACAGAGTCAAGCGACTAACTGGCATGAGATTTGAAGCCATGGAAAGGTAATTGAGCCTTGCAAACAGTGTGGTCCCATTTGAAAACAGCAGATATGAGGCCTGTCTTTATGTTCTATGCTATGGCAGCATCATTGAGAGTACAAGATGTCTTGCTCCTGAGATTCAGAGTAATGTCAGAGTGCTTCTCAGTATAAATCCTGGCCTTTACTCCTAGTAAATAGGATTTGACATAAAAGTGTAATCCACTTACCATCCCTGGGCTAGTGAAATCCTACCTAATAAAAGAGTAATATGCAAATTAACCATCACTCCACTGCACCCGCAAGCCATGCCCCACCAGCCAATCAGAGCGAGTATGCAAATAAACCCAACCAAGATGGCTACAGCCACAGAGAGCAGGCTTGGGTTTCTCAGGCAACGGAGGAAGCCAAGCTTTCCGCCTGCCCTTGCCTGCCTAAGCCGGCCCAGGTGTGAGCAGGAGGCTTGGCTCTGCTCCAGGCTACAAAGTTTCAATTATAGAAAGTAAATAAATTTCAGGGCCTCCACTTGGGTTGCCAGGGGGCATGGCCGGCCTACAAAACACAACAGGCCCCTTGCTCAGGCTGTCCCCCACCCCAAGGGAACCCCCACCCTGATCCAGGACACCCTTAGGGCAAACCAGCTGGCCCCCAACCATGCACCAGGCCTGTATCCTATATAATAAAAGAGTAATATGCAGATTGACCATCACTCCAATATATAATATGGCTGCCCGAATGTGGTCAAAGATCCTGCCCCTATGTGGACACAAGATAGCTGCCACAAGATGGCGAGCAGGGAGGGCAGTTGGGAGGCACCAGGCCGGCAAGGGAGGGCAGTTGAGAGGGACCAGGCCTGCAAGAGAGGGCTGTTGGAAGCAATTAACCCTGCAGAGGAGGGAAGTTGGGGGCAAACAGGCTGGCAGGGGAGCAGTTTGACATCAATCATGCTGGCATGGGAGTGGTTAGGGGGTGATCAGGCTGGTAAGCAGAAGCAGTTAGGGGCAATCAGGAAGGCAGGCGAGCAGTTGGGAGCCACCAGTCCTGGATTGTGAGGGGGGATGTATGACTGTCATTCAGACCCAATCCTAGTGGGTCTGAATGGGCAGTTGTACATCCCTCAATGGGTCCCAGATTGGAGAGGGTGCAAGCTGGGCTGAGGGACACACACACACACACACACACACTCACACACCCGCCCCTGTGCATGAATTTCATGCACTGGGCCTCTAGTAGATTATATTAAGAATTGGCTTCAAATAATCCTGGTTTTAGGATTTAATAGCTGGTTACCTAGCAAATTATTTAACTTTAAGGTTTTTTGGCCTCACTCCTCTGTAAAGCAAGAATATTACCAACTTGTTATAATTTTGGGGGAACTTATAAATATATGTGTAGGACCCTCATAGGCACTCAAGGTATAGAAACTATTCATTTTTTTATTGATTTATGATTGACATTTTATTAGTATCAGGTATACAACATAATGATGTTTAATGAAACGATTATAGTTAGTTATCCATCACCACCCATAATCATGAGAACTAAAAGTTCTGTTCTCTTGGTAACTTTCAATTATAACAAAGTCTTGTTAACTATAGTAAACATGCTGTTAATTATTTATAAGTGGAAGTTTGATCCTCTTCACTCATTTCACACACTCCCACTTCCAGCCCCACCCCTATCTCTGGCAGCCACTAATCCATTTTCTTGATCTGTAAGTTCAGGTTCTTTTTGACTCCACATTAAGTGAGATCATACAGTACTTGTCTTTTTGTCTGACTTATTACATTTAGCATAATGTCCTCAAGGTCCATCCAGGTTGTCATAAGTGTCAGAATTTCCTTCATTTTTATGAATAAATAATAATACATTGCATATATGTCACAATCTCATTCATCTGTTGATGAACATTTAGGTTGATCCATGTCTTGGCTCTTGTAAATAATGCTTTCATGAACATGGGGAAGCATGCATCTTTCAATATAGTGCTTTTGTTATCTTCACATAAATACCCAGAAGTGGAACTATTGGATTAAATAGTAATTTCATTTTTAATTTTTTAAGGAATTTCCATATTGTTTTACATAGTTCCAATTTACTTTCCCCACAAACAGTGCACAAGTGTTCTCTTTTCTCCATGTTCTTGTCAACACTTATGTCCTGTCTTCTTGCCACAGTAAGCTATGATTATCTGTGTTTACATGTCTTCTAATTTTGTGGTTTGACCTGTGACTTTAATTCTCTGATGAATCTAGAATTAGTTTGTCCAGTTTGTTTAGCTTTTTTCTTGTGTGGATGGGAGTGATAACTTCCAAGATCTTTTTACTTGCTGTTCCAGGAACCAGAAATGTTGACCAACTTTTCATAAAATTATTGACCATTTCTATATCTTCTTTGTTTTTAAATTGAGTTGTCTTTTTTTATTTAGTTGTAAAAGTTCTTTATAAATAATCTAGATACAAGGTCCTTATCAGACATATTAGAGGCCCAGTGCAGGAAATTCGTGCACGGGGATGTGGGAGGGTTGAGCGGCGTTCCCCTTGTGGGAGTGCACTGACCACCAGGGGGCAACTCCTGCATTGAGCGTCTGCCCCCTTGTGGTCAGTGCTCATCATAGTGACTGGTCGTTCTGCTATAATGGTCGCTTAGGCTTTTGTTATATATTATAGAAGATTATATGTTTATTTTTATTGGAACTCGTAGAACCATTTTACTTAGCAACGTTTTCATGTTTTTATTTGGAAGAGTGGCTGTTAGATGTGCCTTTGTTAAATAGGATCATTAATCATTGATTCTCATACATGATTGTGTAAATTAGAATATGTGGAATATAAAAAAATGAGTAGTTGCCTTGCTCCCACTTTACTGAAATCAGTTTGTGGGGGTATAACCAAGATTTTTCTTTAAAAAACCCTGCAGGTAAAAAGACAGGTATCAGAACATTGTTGACTACATGTAAATTTTTGTTGACCTTCAGTGTATTAGGATCCTCTAGCGAACCCCTCATCTCACCCCCAACACACAGACATTTACATATATACACAGAGAACCATATATGTAAATGGATATTTATTATGAGGAATTGGCTCATATGATTGTGGAGGCTTTGAAGTTCCAGAATCTGCCATCTGCAAGCTGCTGATCCAGCCAAACTGGTGCTATAATTCAGTCTGAGTCCAAGTCCGGAGGCTGAGAAGGAAGGGAGCCGATGGTATAAATCCCATTCTGAGGATAGGGGGAGGTAAGATGAGATGTCCCAGCTCAGAAGTGAGGCTGTAAAATAGGTTAAATTCCTCCTTTCTCCACTTTAGTTCTAGTCAGACCTCAAGGAATTGGATGATGCCCACCCACATTGGGTAGGCAGTCTGCTTTGCTGAGTCTACGGATTCAAAGCTAACCTCACCCTGAAACACCGTCAGACATACCTAGACATAATGTTTGAACTGGGCCAGTCGGGTTGACACGTAATATTAACCATCACCCTCAGTTTTTACATTGTTTTTAAAATTACAGTATAATTTAAATATGTTTAAATATAAAACTAGATGATTTGTGCCTCATATATATAGGTTTTATACAACTATAAAAACAATGAATAGTTTCATATCTTTCTCTGTCACTTCTGATATCTTTTTCAGAGTTATTTTAGTTGGAAAGATTCCCAGGTGATTCTCATGTATTGTCTTGGGACAATTTCTACTCTATAGCATTAATTTTGCCCTTGTTTTTCATACCTGACTGCTTTGTTTCGTTATTATTTAATGATTTTATTGTATTCCCTCATTTAGTTGTAGATTCTTATGAAGCTAGCAGACCTATTATAGTACCATGTATTGGATGTCCAAACTAATTTTCTTCATTTGAATTACTGCTGTGTCTAATTGTGTGCAGAGATGTGGACATATGGAGTGAACACATTTACAAATTCAGTCTGCTTTTATTTTATTTTTTCAATAGTCTGCTACAGATAACAAGAATAGGTACAGTATTCTTACCTATTGGCATGACCCTGATCACCAACATTGACTTGGGTACTAAAATTTTGGGGTCAGTGTATAGTTGAAAGATGAGTCACATGATATACTGTATTCATATCTATCATTAAAAGATACCTTCCAGAAAATGTCATTAAGAGAAAAATATAAAATTAAAAATATCCTATAGGGAACTTATGAAGAGGTCCCAAGACAATGTATCTATTTCTGGTTTTAGAAATACTTCTGTAAAAGTTTTTAAACATTGTTGTTTGCTTTCTTAAAGATCTTTATTCAGAAGTGGAGAAATTGATAGGAAGGGATTTAGGGGTTATGAACATTGTTAGAAATTTCAGAATCACTCAGCTATTTCTTTGCATCCCAATCAAGGTTATCATATGTAAGAGTATATAGTTAAGGAAAGTTTTTTTTTGATTTCTAATGTATCTCTACTTAGATTCTCTATCACATAATGTTAATTTTAGCTTCTTAGTTACATACTGTCATATGTGAGTATTTTTTCATTTGATAAATTTGTTTTCCAGCAAAGAGTAAGTATTACGTATGGATAATTAGTAGGTGCTTAATGAACTGAACCAGTTCAACTAATAAAAACTATTATAAATTTTCATTAAAGGAGAATTAACATATAGATCATTCCTTGCTAATGGATTTATTAAAATTAAACTTTTCCTTATGTTTTATTGGTTGTAATTCTAGGTATAACTAGGATCATAAAGGTATCTCTTTGTGCTGCTAGATTTTACGTTTGTATTTAGGCCCAATTAGATAAGTATGTTTTGAAGTAACTTTATCTAGAAATACTTTTTGTGATACATTTTTCCATTTAAAGAAACCACACCATAGCAAACCTTTACTATTATAGGAATATAAAAAGTGACTCAGATAACAATTACAAATGCATGTAAAGATCTGCCAGTTGAATCTTTTCCAGTATTTACTATTTGTCACTAAATTTTAAGTTCATGATTCTTGATGTTTATTTTTCTTTTTAAATAGATATGATGATGCAATACAGCTATATGATCGAATTCTACATGAAGATCCAACTAACACTGTAAGTTAACTAATAGTTCTGAAGATGATATAGTTTATTTCAAAAGGCAAAATTAATTAATTTTGAAAGTAGTGGAAAAATACATATGGAACTATGTTTTATTATCTTATTTTAAATATTTCAAGATGGATTGTTTTTTAAAAATAGGTTTAAAACTCTCCAGTTAAATTTGACTTATGAGATATCTTACTAAAAAAAAAAATTAATTGAAATTTGGGAAGAAAAAATTTTATGTGCTTGCATAAAAGCCCAGCAAATCTGTGTGTTTTTTGTGTGTAATATTTTGTTAAAGTTTATGAAATAGTAACTTGTCTTACCGTATTTGTGTAGTTTAATTTTAGTTGTTTTAATGAGAAATGAAAGAAGTCATTTCAATAATTAATATATGGAGTTAATGAAGCTTTTTTGTTTTCGATTTACTTTTTTCTACCTGAATAAGAATTACTATATCATATATAAATATATTTAAAGAAAAAATATGTAAATATCATTAATTCTGATTTTAAACAAATTTTATATCAGTTTATTGGACAAAATATTTGTTCTAAATATACTTATATAGTATAATATGTTTTAAAAATACCCTGGTGAAAAATTTTTTATTGTTGAGAACATTTTAGTTTAGTATTGGTATAATGGCTTTCCTCAGATTTCCCTTGTATTAAATGAAAAGTTAAAGAGAGACTTTAAATAACTTCAGGCATTTTTAATGTTTTATGTTATGTCCTTGCATACATATGATTGCTAAAATAAAAATATTTTTAGAAATTTTAAACAAAAAACAGTTTGAGTTTGTAATGTCTTTTTATAAAGGGAGAAATTCTTACATTAACACATAATACAAAAACCTGGTGTTCTCTTATTTGGCAGTATTTCATTAAAAATGCACATTTAAAGTAAGCTAACAAAATATATGATTGTGGATTATAAGATGCGGAAATGTTTAATAATGAACATGAGTAACAATTAATTTAAAAATAAATTATGTATGCTAAGTTGGGAAATTATTTTATATTGAAGTGTGCAATTTCTAGATAGCATTAAAGCAAGCATTCATTGGTCATAAATCTCTGTTCTCTGCTTGTCCCTTTTGATATATTATTTAGCAATACTTCTGTATATTGCTTAAAAGATGGAGTTCTTTTTTCCAGTTTTTTGAGATGTAATATTATATAAGTTTAAGTTACACAACATGGTGATTTGCTATCTATGTATATAAAACCCTAATATGCAGATAGACTGAATGGGAGAAACTGGTCACTATGACGTGTGCTGATCACCAGGGGGCACACTCAGAACATGGCTGGCGTTAGCAGCAGTTAGCAGAGCACAGAACATAGCGGGCATCAGCTGGGCGGGATGGTGGAGTAGGTGAGCAGGGGTGCCAGACCAAGGCAGGGCCCCTGACATTGTCATTGCGGTGATCTTCTGGTGGTTACTGAAAATTTTTTGATCCAGCGAGCCGTAGTCCCGTCTGGTGCTCGCATCTGCTGTGGGTGCTCAGCGCCTGTCCCAACCGCTTGGTGCCATCAGCAGGTGTGAGTGGCGGCTGCTGGCTCCGATCACCTCTGAGGGCTTCTCTGCCTCCCCTTGCTCCTGAGGGGTGATTGGGGTAGCAGCCGCCGCTTGTACCCGCTACTGAAGCCAGCCCCAATTGCTCCGTGCCATGGGGTCAGCACTGTCAGCGCATGGGAGCAGCTACTGTGGGAGCGGGACTGCCGGCAGACAGGGCTGGTGCGGGGGGAGAGGCGGGGGGGGGAGGGGGGAGGGGGTCTTCGCAGGGAGAGGCCAGGTGGGGGTGCAGAGGATGGGCAGAGACCTGCCCCTGTGCCCACCGCATCTTCATGGCCCACACTTCCTTTCAAGGTGCACAAATTCATGCTCTGGGCCCCTGGTAGGTATATAATTTGAAATGTTTTTGTGTTTTTAATATCCCACCCTTGGGAAACTCCCTAGGGTTTTTTTGGTATTTGTTTTGTTTGTTTGTTTTTTTGGCACATATTTAAATGATAAGGATTCATTATTTTGTGGAGATTCTAAGAATATAGAAATTTCAGGGAAAAGTTTTGGCAGAACTACGAATCTACCTATTATTAAAAAACAACAACAACAAAAAAAACAAACAGCTTCCTGCCCTTCCCCCCAGCTGCTGGGAGGCAGTGTATGCAAATTAGTCACCATCTTTGTTAGGTTAATTTGCATACTCCTGATTGTCTGTGGCATCGTGAATTAGTACAGTCAGTTAGCATGTTTGTCTATTATTAGGTAAGATACATTGTTCTGTCTTTATAGTACTTTCTACATTTTATAGCTTTAAGACTGGCCAAAAGAAATTCAAATGGTTCCCCTCATTGACTATATATAAAGTGTAGTAACTAAGTGTCTTCGTTGTTAGGCGACTATTTTAGAACAAAGTGACTAAAATCAACTGTTAAATGTATGATTCTTTCATAAGAGAATATTTATCTAATCTCTACTCAGTTCCTTTTGTCCTGCTGTAAATGATGATTATGTTTCATGAGCCACCACAGTGTTGACGTTACTAAGAATTAAAGACACTGTTTCTGTTACTGTATCCGTAGAAAACACTGAGGTAGACATTGAAGGAAATAGCAAAGCCATATAAGACCTAGGACTGAAAAAGTGTATTAGGGAAAGACTTTACTTATATTAAGTAGTCAAATGATTATTTAGAAGACATCACAGTTTCTTTTTCCAAAGCACCTTCGTTATCACAGAGGTGAGAAAGTCCAGTTCTGTTTTCATCTGTAGTTTTAAGTCAAGCTTGTAGCTGTAATTCTTTGCATTGTCTAAAAGCGGTTATGTGATTCTTTTACTGGTCTTGTGAATCTGTACTCCTTGGTAACCACTATAGAAATTCAAGGTTGTTATTCAAGCTTTAAAGAGCTCTCTTTATGCATTCATTATTTCAAAAAAACATTTGTTGAGTGCTTAGAGAGTGTTTGGTGTTGGGAATAAAAGGATGAATTATACACTATCCTTGACTTTGCTTTTAGGGTGGCAGGATGATATAATGAATGGATTTTGGACTTTGAGATAGACTTATTAAGTCTTGGTTCTTTGATGATTTGCTGTGTGATTTTTGAGCGTTGTAGGCTTTGAAAGATGAGTGTGGCTTGAGACAAAGCCATCTTAGTTCATGAATGGCATGAGTAAGTTTCAGTATTAAAGCACAAGTCCTATCTAGGGCAAAAAGAATAAAGTAATTTTAATAGAAGTTTTTAAATTTTTCTTTTGGGACGTTACTGAAATGGGACACCTTCTCCTCATCTGTTTAAATTTTTTTGAAATACTCTTTTGAAAAAGTAATTTTAATACCCAGGTTAAAAATTACAAATAATACAGAACACTGTGTAGTGGAAAAATAAGTCTTTCCTTCCATTCCTGATTTCAAGTCCTCCTTCACTTAGTCAAACATTGTTAGTAATTTCTTATGTATTTTTCTAGATAATTTTTTTCCTATACACTTATGATATGTGTGCACGTTTGAGTATCTCTTTTGGCAGGGAGAATTGCTAAAAATGCAAATGGTGGCGTACTTTACCTAGCAGTGTATTTTAAAGGTGATGTCATGTCAGCATAAGCTTTACATCATCCTCTGAGAAGCTGCATAACATTGCATTGCATGTATAGTCTCTGTCTTCATGAAAAACAGCTTTACTTAAGACCCTTTTGGTGAACTCTTATGTTGATTTTGATGTCTTCCTCCCAGAAAGTGTTGCAGTGGATGTCGTTTGTAGGATAGATTCCCGGAGTAAAATATCTGTCAGGAAGTTACATGCATTTTAAGTTTTGATAGGGGTTGCCAAATTTCCCTGCACAAAGGTGTTTTTTGTTTTGTTTTGTTTTTTAGCTGTCTACAATCATTTCTATGGTGGAGGAGATACTTCTCTTTCTGTATGGCATATTTAACTTTTGTTAGTATGATTGATTAAAATATTACCTTGTTATTTACATTACCAGTAATGTGGAATATCTTTTTAAAAAATATGTTTTTAATGATTTTAGAGAGGGAAGGAGAAAGAGAGAAAGAGAAAGAGAGAGAGAGAGAGAGAGAGAGAGAGAGAGAGAGAGAGAGAGAGAGAGAGAGAGAGAGAGAGAGAGGATCTGAGAAATATTGAATGGTTGCCTCCAGCCGCACCCCGACCAGAGACCGAACCTGTAACCCAGGCATCAAACACTCGACATTTTGGTACATCATCCCAACTAACTGAGTTACACCAGCCAGGGCTCCCAAAACTTAAAAAATAAAAAAAAATAAAAATACATATATATATATATATATTATTGCTATCAGAGAGGAAGGGAGAGGGAGAGATAGAAAGGAACATCAATGAGAGAGAATCATTGATTGCCTGTCTCCTGCACACTCCACATTGAGGATCAAGCTCACAACCTGGGCATGTTCCCTGACCCAAATCGAACCGTAATCTCCTGGTTCATAGGTCAATACTCAACCACTGAGCCACACTGGCTGGGCTTCCAAAACCTCTTTGCTGATTTTTTTCCTTGACCATAGGTAGTTTCTTCACTCACATGCGCTGATCAATACCAAGCTGAGTACTCCTCAAGGGGAACCTCCAGAAGTCCTTATTCTGTTTTGTTTTTTCCCCCTCCAGTACTCTGGCCTATTAATGCCAACCTCTTTGATCTTTCTAGTCTCTCAGCTCCTTCTTCTGATCTCAGTCTGATGGGCTAAATCTGGTTTTCTTCCTCTCTGCACAGCACCCTTGAAACTCTCTTAAGGCAGCAAGCCAGGGCAATAAAAATAGGGCTCACCTCATTTGTTTCCTGCCTCTCAGGAATTACTGTCTTTTGCTGCCTGTTGCCCTGTGTTTTAAAATGGTTGTTTCATGGCCCAGGCCTGTGTTTTTCTTAGTGGTTAGAGTGTCGGCCTGCAGACCATAAGGTCTTGGGTTTGAATCCAGGTCAAGGGCACATACTTTGGTTGCAGGTTCCCCAGCCCTGGTAGGCATGCTTGTGGGAGGCAAACAATCAATGTCTCTCTCTCTTTCTCTCCTCCTTCCTCCCCTTCCTACTCCTCTTCTCTCTCCCTCTTCCTCTCCTTCTCTCTCAATACAAGGTTGTTTCATGTATTTAGTTCAGGTCTTTGGTTGTTTTAGACAAAAGGGTAAATCTGGTCCCTGTTACATCATCTCAGCTAGAAATGAAATCCCTGCTTAATGTTCTTTTAAATGATCAAGATAAAGAAAGATTGGTTCTTATGTCAGAACGTGGTGTTATTTTTCTCAAAACCTGGGAAGGGCTGTATATTATGTGACTTAGTAAAGAATTATTATTTTAACTTTGTTGAAAATATTACAGATGTCCCCATTTTTCCTGTTTATCCCTCTCCACCCACCTTTCTCCCCTGATTTTGATATTTATCAATTAAAAAACTTTAAAATGCAAGTTTAAATATTTTGTCTATTTTAAAATATGTCCTTCGGGACCTATATTATTCATTTGAAAGACTCATAAGCAGATTGTTCTCTTAAAATTTTGAAAAAGTTATCAGAAGCTATAATTGTATAATGGCATTCAAGTGGCCATGGTGATATATATATATTTTTTTCCTTAATCCCCACTATTCCTCTGTTTCTTAAGATATAGATCTTATGAATGAGACAGAGTAAAGGATTTTAGGGTGGATAAAGATTAAGATTCCCTGCTGGCTTGTAATTATCAGAATCTGGATGCTTATTTATCTGAATGAAATGATGCATATATGTGTACATCAAAAGTAAAGCATATGTGATTGTGAGAGGAATGTTTGAACTCCCCGGTGGGATGTCATGGGGTATGTTTATAAATCTCCACTAAGCAGTAGTTCTGCAATAGAGTTTCACTGGCATTGAGATAATAATTTGCACAGTCAAATTACCTTCTTTACAAAAAACCCAGGGAATCATGAGCGCCTAATCCTTTATTAATGTCAACCCATAGGCTGCAAGGAAGCGTAAGATTGCCATTCGAAAAGCCCAGGGAAAAAATGTGGAGGCCATTCGGGAACTGAATGAATATCTGGAACAGTGAGTGTTTTAGAAGAGGAATGTGCTTCGTTATTCTGATAAATCTTTTTTAATTAAAATGGAATTTGCATTGATTTTCCTTTTTTGCCCACATGCTGTTTATTTACCAAATATCTACACACTTTTTTTTTTTTTTTTTTCCTTTTCCCTCACCAGATTTGTTGGAGACCAAGAAGCCTGGCATGAACTTGCAGAACTTTATATCAATGAACATGAGTAAGTTGTTAAGTACACATACAATTTTGTTAAGAGCACAGTTTTCATCGCTAAATTCATAAGGTCTAATGGTTTCCAAAGGGTTGGTGAGGAGGTATGAATCATGCCATTTTAAATGAACAAAATAAATAAATGAAAAAATAACAAACCCATGATTTGTTGGATATAATATGTGAATTGCTTTAACTTGGTCAGTTTGTTTTTTACTAAATTATTTTTGTTGGGGAAATAAGTTTTTCTTTAAAATGCATAAAGCATTCTTTGGAATTAGGAAGGCCTGCATTTGCTGAGCTATGGTTATTTTAGTGAATCAAAATTGTGAATTTTTAGAGTTCAAATTGTTCTTATAATACAAAGAGTATTATACTCCCTGCTGTTTAAAAATTCTGTCAATTGTATGCATTTATTAGCCTTAGTACTAAGAGAATCAAGTCTTCCAAAGTAGAGAAGCATCCTGTTGCCTGGGTAAAAAACCAAGAATAATCAAGAATGTTGAATGCTGTAGGAACTGGCTTATTGGATATTTAATGTTTTTGTTAGCTTTTTTTATTGCTGCAGTGACAGGAGGAAATCCCAGTGTGAGAGGATTAGCCCAGTCTTAGTGCAAGTTTTCTAATAACACAGCATTAACGCTAACCTCCATCCAGAGGCAGGACCCCTGCCCCCCATAGTTCTGAATCTGAAGTATATCACATTGCTTCTTTCTTTCTTCTAGAGAGAATAGAATCAGATTCTCATGCACATCTTACTATGCATGAATAGTTCATCTCATTCTCATACTACAAATAGCTGACACAGGAAATAAAATAGAATGAAGACACTTGTCTGTTGCCTTTGCTCAGGGCTGCATATGTAATGTGAAATGGAGAATTAAGGTAGTTAATTGCATAATTCTGAGATTAGTGGGGGCTAAAATTAAAATTATAGCATCATCTAATGGATGTATGCTATATTCTGGGAAGCAGTCTCCACTTTTCTACCATACTTTGACTTAGATTCTTTTTATTTTCCCTTAGGAAATTATTTTCCAAATAATGTTCAGTATAGATGAGTGTATACTTGTATATTCACATATGTGAACATATTTAGGAATCTCTTATGCATGTGAAATTGGTAATTAAACCAAATTACCATTTTGTAATTATTACCATTTGGTTTAAATGGTAATAATTTTATTTCCTTACTTTTTAAGTTTATATTTATGAAGTATAATAGTATATATCTTAAATAACATGAATTAAATTTTCAGAATGCAATAAAAAAACAAGTTTTATTTTGTTCATAAGATAGATGATAGTCATCTAAAATATTTTTATGCTACTTGAGGATCTGTGATTAAGAGTATTCAAACACATTTCAAATCATCAAGAAAATTATTTTGTTAATTAAAGGAATACCTAATGCCGAAAATTTGGAAAACTAACGAGTAAAGATGAAGAAAAAAATCATGTAATTGCATCATTTAAAGTTAACTATAGTTTATTTTTTAATTTTTTTAATATCTCTTATAACAAACAGAAACCTAAAATAGAATTATCATTTGTGGCCTAATGCTTTTCACTTAAGTTATATTGTCAAAACTTTTTTTATTACAGTAAATATTCCACAATGTGATTTCAGTGTCTTTATATTATTCCATTTTATTAAATGTAACCTAGTTTTCTTAACTAATTTTCTTAGTGAATAAAAAGTTGTTTTTAATTTTCACTGTAATACTATACTGATTTATTTTAATTGTTTCGTTGGGACAAATTCTTAGAAGTAGAATTACTTGATTAAATGATATGCACATTTTTAGGGATTTTGATAACTTGTTCCTACTTCACTCTCAAACCAGCTTTATTAGTGTCCCTTTAACAACAGTGGGTGCTGTCATTCTTTTTACTCTTTGCAATTTTGTTAGGTGAAAATTAGTTACCCCTTAAAAAAATTATTTTAGAGCTCTTTATATAAATGATTGGAACAAATGTTTTTCCAGAAATATATGCTTGGTAGCTGAGTTTTTTTTTATATTGATTTTTTAAAAAACAGGTTTTATTTTTAGATGGTCATATGTATCCATTTGCATTGCTTGTATGTTTTCTGTCCTCTAAGGACTATATAAATATAGTTTTGCATGTTTCTAATATTTCTCGATTTAATTCTCAAATAGTTACACTTTATTTTTAACCTATCATTAAATTTAATATTTGCTTCATCTTGTAATGCCTACATTTAGTTTTGCTTTGTTTTGAATCTCTAAAGAATTTATTGAGATAGAGTTGAATGTACACTTCAGAGAAATAAAAAAAAAAATCCCAAGAAATTGAAAACTACAAAGACAAAAGCACCTGAAAAATTTCTTTTCAGAGGAAATGATAATTGTGTTCAGCTTTCCCTTTTATTCTGTGTCACAAAACTCTTTTTGGTCTTAAAGGTATTCATTCACAAAATAACCATTTATTTATTTATTTATTTGAGCACTTAGAAGAAATATTCAGATGTAGAGAACTTGGAAATAAACACCTTCAGATTTTTTTGAGGTGAAAATCAGAATCTGTTCACTTAATTCATTTTGTTAGGACAAGTCATTATAATAGGTAGGATTTGTGTGTGTGTGTGTGTGTGTGTGTGTGTGTGTGTGTAAGTGGTAAATTATTGTGGGATGTCAGCTTAGCAAAGTTTTATGGACACAGTGGCAAAAATGTAGCAATTTAAGTATTCCTAGATATATTTAACATTTTGGCATTTTCTGCATATGAATAGTTCATAAGCTATTTTAAATATAATAGATCACAGGCAGCATTGTTAGTCTAAATCTAGAAGTTTTACTCTAAATTTTTACAGTAGAATGTTCATATAAGCTTATTCATTGTTTTTAGAGAGAGAAAAGGGGAAATATAAGGAAAAATAATGTTGATAAAGCAATCTAGGGACAAATATATAACCTATACATATGCTTTTGTGAGGATCAGAAGAACTTTAAAAACTTAATTTAGTAAAAGAAACATTTAAAGGGAACTGTCTTTCTGATGAAGTTAGGTGTTTAGAAACCACTTTCCACTTGTCTTATAGAATAATAAACATCAGGTAAATACATATAAATACTTTCATTGTTCTAGACATTAATTCAGTTATTTGTTCACTCATTTAGCCAGTCACCCATTATATACCTATCATATGTCAATAACCTGATTTTGGATATAAAAATGAAAGGGCTAAACAGCTGCATGATCTTCGATGAGAATCCTATATAATAAAAGGCTAATATGCAAATTGTCCCCTCTGGAGTTTGACTAACCAGGAGTTCTACCAATCACTATGACGTGCGCGACCACCAGGGGGCAGTGCAGAATGAAGGAAGGTCCCTGCTGACAGCTGGCAGTTGGGGGAAAGAAGCCCCCAGCTGGCAGCTGGAAGCTAGGGGAAGGAAGGCCCTGATGGGCTCAGATCGCTGGCCAAACCTAAGGACCCTAACCGTGCTTGAATTTCATGCACCAGGTATCTAGTCTATAATAATCTTCATAAATCTAAAGTACTGTGATTTGGGTGTAATCTGCAGGCTGTTTTGGTTCCTCAGACTTTGTGGATTTGATTGTTGTTCCTGTCTTTATGTTACCATTCACATCTTCATCGCTACAATCACCACAATTTTCCATTGTGATATGTAGTGCTGAGAGGCAGTATGCATAGTGATTAAAAGTGTAGGCTATCTGGAGTGGCACAGCCTGGTTTCAGCTTAATCTTTGTGCCTCAGAGTCCTTACCTATAGAATGGTGATATTAATTTCCTATTTCCTAGGGTTTTGGAAGGATTAGATGAGTTAGTACTTCTAATACCTAGAAAATAATACATAGTGAGGATGTGATAAAAGTTAGATTTTCCCCTTGCTGGTATGAATCAGTTGGGACATTGTCCTGTGTACTGAAAGGTTGTGGATTTGATCAGGGGGTGTATGGGAGGCAGTTGTCATTTTTCTTTCACATCCATATTTCTCTCTTCCCCTCTCTCTAAAATCATAAAATGTATTTTTAAAGTTCTTATTAATTATATATATGAAACTGCAGCATGTATTTTGAAAAGTAAGTATATCAGACATTAGTGTAAAGATAGGATATCAGTGACAAATGCAAAAAAAAAACTATAGTTAGCCTTGTTTTAATGGGCACTCTCAACACCACCTCACCGCGAATAAATATTAGGACACCTGTGTTCTTTAGGATTTCTTATAAATAGTAAGTATAGTCACATGCCTTTACACATAAAATATGTTGAGGGGAATTGTAATTACCTGGTGTAACACCATTTTTCCAGAACCCTTTGCAGCAGTTCTCTCGGGTTTTCAGCAAGATTTTTGTTTATCTACCACATGATTAAATAATAGCACGGAATATATTCAATACACAAAGTCTGTGTTTTATGGGTTTAGAAATTTATAACTTTATTATGATTTTGTATTTTACAGTACAATTAACTAATGAAAAGTTTTGTAATAGAATATGTTGATAAATTTATGTCTACAAAGGGTTTTTAGTGAATAGAGAGTATTTAATGAAATGTTTGTTTCCTCCTTACACTGTAGCTATTTGATTATTTTATTAAATGATTTGTGGAATTCTAGAAGTTATTTTATATGTAATTTGATCCAAGGTCTTGAAGCCTTTGTTGTTAATAATGTTTGAATGTCATAGTAGTGACCTAGTTTTTAAAAATATGTATTGATTATTCATGGGCTGCTTTAGGATTTAAGCTTTTGTTTATTAATTTCATTAAAAACCTAAATATTTGTATTTATGAATTTAGGATAAGTCCTTTATTAGTAATAAAGCTATTTTAGTTATTTAGGGAACAAAATGTGTCTAACATCACTAAACTTGTTTTAAAGTTATTTTAAGACATAACTAAGATAAAATTTGTTACTTTTAATTTCTCCTTGATATTTTTCAGCTATGCCAAAGCAGCCTTTTGTTTAGAGGAGCTTATGATGACTAATCCACACAACCACTTATACTGCCAGCAATATGCTGAAGTAAGTTTCAAAAACAGCAATTGTATATGATTTTATTTTTGTTGGTTTGGGTATTATAATGGAACTAAGATTATGTCCTTAATGTTAGGCAAGTATATAAATATTTAAAGCATTTGATGAAAATTGACTTGGAGTAAAAGTCTTAAATTTTTAATACTGTAATGGAAATAGTGACTTCTCAGTTAAAAACACTGCTTAAAACAGTGAAATCCTTTGTATTTTTTATTTGAATGCTATTTTCTGTTTGAATTATGAATTATGTCACAATTGTCACCGTTTAATAACTTCTAAAACATTGATAGTGAATATGATTTTTAAAATTTATATTCTAGAAATTTCATATCAAGATCAGTATTTTGTGAAATAGCAAGTATTTGTCATTAAATATTAAGGATAGCAATATAATTCAATGCTGTACGGTTAGAAGGACTTCGTTATTAAGGACTGTTGTTAGAATAGTTTTTTGGGGGAAGGTTATGCTTTAAATTTTAGATAAGCTTTAACAACTTTAAGATGAAAATTTTTAAACATCTTGTATTTGTTTACAGAGTATCTGTTTCAGTTACTAATGCCTTTGGTATGATGAAACATGTTATATTTCAAAGTAGTAAAATAAACAAATCTCAGCACTCTGAAATTTTTAACAGGTTAAATATACCCAAGGTGGACTTGAAAACCTTGAACTTTCAAGAAAGTATTTTGCACAGGCATTGAAACTGAACAACAGAAATATGAGAGCTTTGTTTGGACTTTACATGGTGAGTTAAGGTGCATGTTTAATGTTATTTTACCAAATCTGTCATTTAAACTCCATTAACTATCCTATTGAATCACTTCTTTCTTTTTTTTTTTTTTTTGATTTGCATTTTTTCTTCTAGTTAATTATGAGTAATACGTTATAAGATAATTTTATTTCTGAATTTTACTATATCACATATTTTTGACATTTCATTATAAAATATATTTATTGTATCAGAAGTGAAATATTTCCTTATAAAATTAAATAGTAACTGACAAAAATTCATACTATTTCTTAATTGTTTTGACATTCTTGGATTTATTCTCAACATTGTTGTTTCTTACCTTAAATTAAAATTGTATGAGATATTTATAAACTATGGCAATAAAAGACATATCAGAAATAAAATCTCTAATGTAAAATTAAAACTTTTTTTATGGTATAGAACCAATTTGGAAGTTGTGGGAAGTATGTAATTAAATATTTCATTATTTATGTATGCCAAGTGACAAGCTTAGAAAAGTAAATTAACAAGAGCTTTGGGGTAGGAAGAATTTGCTGAGCTTTAAAATATATATAAAATGAGCCCCTCTCTACAATCAAAAATGCCTGGAAAAGCAAACTTTCCTTTAATAAGCCAGTTCTTTGAATTTTAATTTATCCTAGTCTTTTTATGGACTTTTGTATGAATGAAAAGAATTGATTGCTGAGATGGAGGCAGAAAGAAACAAATGAAATACTTTTCAGTAAAGAAATGGAATTTTACCCTTAAGAGCTGTAGTAGACAACTAATAAAATAATTTTAGATATTTTAAAAGATATTCTTTCTCTTTTCCATTTGGATTTTTCATTATTTTAAAACATGTCATTTTTAAACACTGCTATTTTATTTAACTTCATATTTATTTTAAAAGCAAATAGTTTGGTACAATTTTTAAAACTTTGTTATCATCCCATTGCAACTGCGACCTTATATGTTTTTTATTATCTTGCTAGAAAAATGGCATTTTGTTTTTGATGTTTACTTTTTGTTTTTAGTCAGCAAGTCATATTGCTTCTAATCCAAAAGCAAGTGCAAAAACAAAAAAGGACAACATGAAATATGCTAGTTGGGCAGCTAGTCAAATAAACAGAGCTTATCAGGTTAGTATTAATAGTTTTATATTATCATATTGGTCAGTTGATGTATTGTATAACTTAGTTGTTTTTGTTTCTACAAAGTACAAAGCCAAATGTCTGTCATTGGACTTTTATGCCTTTGGGCCTTTATCAAATGTGTTTTAACTACAGAATGAATTTGTAGTTGTAGGATCACACACACTCCCCCTCCCCACAGAGGAGCCTGTTACCATTATGATCCCATAATTAGCCTCACCATCTAGAAATCTCAGTAGTTCTGCATTTGGCAAGTAAAAAGTAATTGTGAAAAATCCAGAAAGGATAAACAAATTGCAGGATGCATTTCAGAAGCAAAAGCAAATTGGGTATGTGCGTGTGTTGTTAATTAGAGGTGTCTCAAATAATGAAGAAGTGAAGAAAAGCCTAAAAGTAAACTAACCAGACTATATAACAGTTTATATACTCGCCTCACATGTCATATATTACTGATTTTCTGAAGCTCATACTTAGGAGATTCTTCAAGAAGGCCTCTTGGAAAAATATACCATCTTCTTACATCTTGCATGTTATAACTTATATGTCTATAGTCTTTATATTTGAAGGATGATTTGGCTTTTTATGAAACCTTTATGAAGTTTACATAACTAAGTCTTTTAAACCTATTGTTCTATTGTTGCTTTTTAGGATAAAATATTTTAACACCTGATTTTCCTGATTTTCTTTCCCTAATAACTAACTTAGACTTTTTGTTTGGTTTTCCTAAGGAATGTTTTATTTATTTTTAAAATACTGCAGTATGTTTTGTTCATTATTCTCAGGTTAATTTTTCAAATACACAATAGACCCTTTAATATGTGGATTTTGTTTCTTTTTTAATTTCAGAAAATTGCTATTAAGATTACAATTTTAAATACTTTTTTTGTTTGCTTAAATTTTCTTTTTTTAAAAAAAAATATATTTTTTATTGATTTCAGAGAGGGGGAGATAGAAATATCAACAATGAGAAAGAATCACTGATTGGCTGCCTCCTGCATGCTTACAACTGGGGATCCAGCCCTCAACCCGGGCATGTGGCCTTGACTGGAATTGAACCCGAGACCCTTCAGTCCTCAGGCTGACACTCTATCCATGAGGCTTAAGTTTTCTTACTCAGGTCTCCAATTATAGGTCTATTGGCTCGCTTTTCTCATATCCTATATTCATTTTTTTTTAAATACCTTTTCTGTCATTTTCTTAAATATTTTTATGGAGTTACTTTATATTCTATTTCTTATTCTCCATGATTCAGGGAGACAATTTTCCTAGGCTATTAGGAGAAAGTTTTTAGGGAATCAGAGATAAAATAGGATAATTTTTCCAACTTGACTTCTCTGTAGCTTCCTCTTTGTTAAGGAGAACTCAAATATGACCTCTTTGTATATTCAGCTTATATCAGAACTAGGTCTAATTCAGAAATATATTTTGGTTCCAGGCCTCTCTTCTATCCCTAGATCTCTATATATCTTAAAGTTTGAGGTGTTGCTTTCATTTTTCAATGTTGGGTTTTATTGTTAGTGTTTTTGTTTTGTTTTCTTCTTCTGGGATTTGTTGTCCTGAGGCATGACCACCTTTTTTAAGCCATCTTTCCTCTTCTTACCCCAGGGTTTCCGTCTTGGTCAGTTTGGTTTTAGATTCACAGTAATTTTTGTTCTGTGTGAGGTGGGTTTTATTTTGTTTTTGCTTTTTGTTGGTTTGTTTGTTTAGTTTTCTTTTCCCCTTTGGAAGAGGATATATATATATATAGTAGATATTTCAGAGATTTTTAGGTCTGATATTAGACTTGTTTAATGTTACACTTACATATCTTTGATCTATAGCCTTTGAGACTGTCCTGGTTTTGCAAGCCATTGTAAGAGTCATCAGTTTACACTTTTTTTTTTCTTTCTGTGGTTTGTAGAGTAGTAGATTGTCCTCTTTTACTTCCTGTTGCTCCTACCACACAGCTGTTGGTCTTTTTTAGTTTCTTCTGTTGTGGATACCAACTCTATTCTAGGATTTGGAAAATTACCTGCTGTGTAGCTTTTTGAAGTTGTCTTCTTTGGCCTTGTGTTCTGTTATTTTAGTTTTGGTGCTATTTCCTTGTTAAGTGGAAGCCTGGGCTGGCCAGGGTGTGCAGAAAGCTTGGTTTCTTCCATCGCCGGGGAAACCCAAGCCTCCCTCCTGCTCTCTCCGTGGCCATAGCCATCTTGGCTGGGTTAATTTTCATATCCGCTCTTTATTGGTTGGTGGGCGTGGCTAGTGGGTGTGGCCGAGTGATGGTTAATTTGCATATTACTCTTTTATCAGATAGAATCCCTTATCCCATTGAACTGCTGGTTCCCTAGGGAGTGTGTGAAACTGTAACTTCCTTGTGAAGCAAGCAGGCATATCTTCCTAGTTGATTATGCTTAATAATGTGTGATATCCTTTGCTCCCTTCCTTTATCAATAACTAGCTAACTACCTGCGCCAACAAATGTATCCAGGTCAGTAAGTAAAAATATTACAGCACTCCAGAGCTCTCCTGGAACCTCTTCTTAATTTGTAATCCTTCTGTCCTTCCCAAGAGAGTGGATTTTTAATCTCATAGTTTTGGGCCCTTTTTGAACTTTGTGGAACTATACAGTATGTATTTATTTTTGCCTAGCCAATATCCCTGTTATATGTATTTATGAGACTTAAACTTTTTGTCTGTAATTCATTCATTTTCATTGTACTGTAGTCTATATGAACATATATTTATTTAGTCATCAGTTGTTAGGCATTTGGATTATTTTGTTTTTTGGGCAATTGTGATATGATAGTACTATACTGAATATTGCTGTACAAGTCTTTTGTTGTACATATACATATGTTTGTGATGATATATAAATATGTTCAAACTAATCTTTCATTTCCTTTATGGTTTGTGCTTTTTGATTTCTGTTTAAGAAATTGTTTACTTCTCATGGTTATAAAGATAATCTTGAGTGTCTTTAGATCTTTTTTTTCTCTTCTGCTTTTCATATGTAGATTCCAAGCCCATTTGGAACTGATTTTTTATGTACGATGTGAAATAGGAGTTAATTTTCCCTCTTTTAACTATCCAGAGTGCTTTTGTCCATCTCTGTATTGTGTCATGAGTCCTATTCCATGGAAGCCAGTATCATGTGGTACTTAAAGAGAAGAACACAGAATAGATCCATGTTGTCTGACTTCAAAGTTTGGCTCTGACAATTATTAGCTCTCTATATATTGCTTTTTGTTTGTTTGAGCTACCTTGGATATATTATATACTATTCTGGGCCTTACTGTTCATCTGCAAGGTGGCATAATAAAACTTTTCTGAGGATTAAAGAAGCTAATACCTAATTTTTATAAATCTGACTCCAGAGTTGGCAGGTCTGACTTCAGAGTTGGTGCTCTTAATGGCCATAATATTCTGTCTCTATAAGGAGTTGTCAGGTATAAATGTGTCTGACATTGTAATTATAGTTTCTAACTCCCTTTTCAATCCTTTCTTCATGTGAACAATTGATATTCTACCTTCACTTTACTTTCTTCAGTTCAGACCTAAAGCTTTCAATAATTACTAAATTCTGGGTTGGTTTTTTTTTTTTCCTTTTCTTTCTTCCTATCCCTCAGTAACACAAAAACAGATAAACAGCCCTTCCCTGCTTATGAGATGCACTATCAATAGCCATGACTCCCATCATTTCAGTAATTTAAGCCATCATTAAAAGATTCAAGCCCTATTCTCTAGTTATATTTACCCTCCTTGCCATTCTTATTTAAAAAACTTTTTCTTATTGTATTTTATTAGATCCATATTCTTTTTATAGGCTTATTTATAAGGTCTCAGTGTTCTTTGGAAAGAGGTCTGAAAGCATCACTAAAGCTCTTCAGTCTTTTAGTTTTATGCTGTAAGCTCTATATTTCTCAGATGTTTTGCACAACTTTACTGAAGGTATGATTTGCCTTTTCTTGACTCCATATGACAGAATAGTACAAGGAATTTTTGCCAGTTCCTGTAATCTTGGAAGGTATTGCATCTTAATTTAGTTAGTTATGTCAAATTTCTGTATAGCAACCTCCATTTCTCTTCAGCTAGGACTCATTGTGCAAAATTATTTCTTCCTCCTAACACCAGTAACGGATTTTAAATAAAATCTCTTGTTGCTGTTGAGGCTTATATATTCTGTGCTTTTTCTACAGAGGCTCAGGGTTCACTTTCTGTCAATCTGATTCAGTAAATATTTATATCTTTTATTCTTTGCTAACTTGGTGATTTAAAATAATGACTTATATGTGCCTGGCTAGCTCAGTCGGTAGAGCATGAGACTCTTAAAATAATGACTTATTTGCTTATGATTCTATAGGTAAGCTGTTTGCCTTGGGCTCAATTATAATAAGTAATACTGCACTTTTCTGGACTGGGCTTAATAATTTATTTTAAATCTTTTTTATTTTCATTTACAGTTGACATACAATATTATAATAGTTTCAGGTATACATTATACACCTGAAACCCAATGGTTATACATTATAAAACTTATTAAGTTATCATCCCCCAAAAATCTCATAGCAACCTGACATCATACATAATTATTAGAATACTAGAGGCCCGATGCATGAAATTCATGCAAGAGTAGTCCTTCCTTCCCCCCGGCTTCCCTCTGGCACCCATACCTAGACTTCCCTCATAACCCCAGATTCATCTGAAAGGTCATCCAGAAGGATGTCTAGTCTAATGAGCATATTACGCTTTTATTATTATAGATTATTGACTGTATTCCTTATGTTGTTCTTGACAACTCTGTGACTACACTATAACAACTAATTTATACTTCTAAATTCCTTCACCTTTTTCTCCCATTTCTCCAACACCCTCCCATCTGGCAAACCATCAAAATGGCCTCTATGTTTGTCCATCTGTTTCTGCTCTGCTTATTCATTTATTTCGATTTTTAGATTCAATTGTTGACAAATATATATTTTTGCCATTTTATTGTTTATATTTTTTATTGTTGTTTTCCTTCTTAAAGAAGATCCTTAAATATTTCAGGTAAATACTGGTTGGGTGGTGACAAACTCTAGCTTTTTCTTGTCTGGGAAACTCTTTATCTGACCTTCAATCCTAAATGATAGTTTTGCTAGCAAGAGTAATCTTGGTTGTAGGTCCTTGCTTTCATCACTTTGAATATTTCTTACCAATCCTTTCTGTCCTGCAAAATTTTTGTTGTGAAATCAGCTGACAGTCTTATGGGTGCTCCCTTGTAGGTAATTAACTGAGTTTCTCTTGCTGCTTGTAAGATTCTCTCTTTGTCTTTAACCTTTGGCATTTTATAATAATTATGATGTATCTTGGTGTGGGACTCTTTAGATTCCTCTTGTTTGTGACTCTACACTTCCTAGTTTTGAAATATTTATTTCTTTCACCAGGTAAGGGACATTTTTTGTCATTTTTTCAAATAGGTTTTTAGTTTCTTGCTTGCTCTCTCTATCTCTCTCCTCCTTCCGGCATCCCCAAGATGTGAATGTTGATACACTTGAAGTTGTCCCAGAACCTCCTTACATTAATTTCATATATTTGGATTCTTTGTCCTTTTGCTGTTCTGATTTGGTGTTTTTTGTTTTGTTTTGTTTTGTTTTGTTTTGTTTTTTTACTTCTTCATATTCCAAATCACTGATTTTGATGTGGTTGTGGGAAGAGGCAAGAAATGCATTCTCCTATGCTGCCATCTTATAGGAGTTTATTTGAATAAAACTGAGGACATAAGCCAGGGAACAAGATCTGAAATACTTCCTTGACTGGACTTATTTATATTTATGTCCTATGCTAGTGGTTGATACCCTCACTTAAATAATTGAAAGACTATCTGCTGTCTGGGAGTACGGGGTATCTCTCATTTGGCAGGCTATCCTGGACCTACTCACGTAGGGGTCTCAGGGTTCTAAGAACAGCAGACAGGCAAACTTGGATGTACAAGGGCTTTTCAAGCTTCCGGGGTTGTCACATGTTCCTAATATTTCATTGGGCAAAGAAAACCACATGGTCAGCATAGATCAGGGATGCAGTACTTACCTCTCAATAGGAAGAGAAATATGACCTCATTTGGCAGTTTATTACACTACTAGTGGCCCGGTGCACAAAATTTGTGCACAGGTGGGGTTCCTAGGTCTGGCTGGAGATCAGGGCTCCTTAGATTCCCCAACTCCTCATCGCATCCTTCCCTTGCCACCCACATCCACTGCTACCCACCCCCCAGTTCCCCTTCCCAGCCTGGGGCCCGGTCTTGATCAGGACCTGTTGGCTGGGAGTAGGAGCCAACTGCAACCATGACAGCTGATCAGGGCCTTCCGGCTCGGGGGAGGTATCAGGGAGGTTTGTCATAGGCCCTGAGGAGGGAGCTGGCCCTTGGTCCCCCTGGGAAAGGGGCCAAATCTGCTGCCACCCACCCTCATTTCCCTGTCCTAGCCCAGGCTATTGGAGCCTGCCAGCCAGGGGGAGGAACCAGGAGGTTGGCCAATAGGCCTTATCAGCGATCGGGGCCTACAGGCTGGGGGCAGCTCCTGAGATGAGCATCTGCTCCCTGGTGGTCAGTGTGCATCATAGCCACTGATCATTCTGATCATAATGGTCACTTAGGCTTTTGTACAGATAGATAGATTGCATAACTCCATAGTCCCTTCCTTCTGCTTTGCCTTCCTTTTTATCCACTTTATTGAGGTAAAATATGCCCCAAAACATGCACACATTTTAGGTCTACAGTTGAGATTTGACAAGTTTAAATTCCCCTCTCACCACCACTCCATCTTCATACACAACATCTTCATACAGAAAGTTTCCTTCTGCCACTTTGCAGTGAACTCACTCCATACTACGGACAAACACTGATTTGATTTTTACCACTATAAATTAATTTTGTCTGTACTAGAACTTTATATTCATGAGATCATAGGTTATGTACTCTTTTGTGTCTGACTCTTTTTCTCTCAGTATAATGTTTCTGAGATTCATCCAACCAGTGTCCCATTTTTATTTATCCTATTTCTTTGTACGCCCATGTTGTTTTCAAAATTGTATAAAGGTAAATTTTAGCCCAACTTATCCCAGTAATTGCAATGGATGAATCACTGACTATTTATTATTATTATTATTATTATTGTGATTTTTCAGGTGAATTATTTTTAAGACCCAGTGGAATTATGAAAAAAGAGTTTACTTAAGTAAAATCTTAACTGTATAAAAACAAAAATGCAGAATTTATGATTAATTTGGCAAATTATAACTAGAGATTGACATTTTAGTAAGCAAATCTGTGGGATCTAATTGAGAACTTCATGGCTCATGTCTAGGTATATAAACAAGTATAAAGAAAAATATTCCTTATTGTAATGTTTTCTAGGCATTTGTAAATTAGAGAAAAAGAGGTTTTAGGAACTGCTTTTCTTTCTACTTAATAATGAAACAGAATATGTCTACTACTGACTTTTCAATGAGGTAATTGGTTTAGCATGTTCAGTAGAGGCACGCAAGTTTGATTAATGCTCATGAAAAACTTTAATGTGAACCTACACACAATTTTCCAGATAAATGCTTCTTTGGTACACTGCTAAATTCATCTGTGCTAGTGATCCATATGTTATTTATGATTGTGGAGGTGATTCTGTTACTATCCTTTTGGGAAATAGAAAATTAAATCATGATTTGAGGAAAAATAGGATTCCGGCTTAATCAGTTAAATTGCCATATAATTCTGCAATAGACAAAATAATTGCATGTCAGGCAAAATTTGAAGTGATTGATTTATATTTTCAACTTTCTTTTTATTTGTTCTGACATAAATAAGTTTGCTTTGTTTATTCTAAATAGTACTCACTGGTTAGTAATCTTGATACAAAAACTAAGGTGATTTTTTTTATTAGCTAATTTTAAAAATCGCTAATTCATATTTATTATTGTTATTATGTTTAAGTACAAACTAAGAAAAATGTTGTATTTTAAAATACTTTTTATGACTTCAGTTCTGGGAATTTACTTTTATTTTGCTGTGTAAGTGTTATGTGGTATCCTATTTGTACCCCCTTCCCCAACCCATTAGACCTTTAAATATCTGATTAGGACCATTCCTATTTTTGGGTAGGCAGTGGTGAAAGAAAAGGCTTTCTGTTCTTGTAAAAGGGAATTTGTCCACTGGATGATAGGAGTAATAAGCACACCCCACATCCTTTACTCACCAAATGCAATTATGTAAAGGCAAAGTTTTAAATGCGATGTTGCTGTTATGACATTTTGTAATTCTGAATATTTAACATTTGAATTCCTTTCATTAGTAGTGTCTATAAAAGGTAAAAGGGATCTTGATTCTTATGATTTCTTCTCTTTTCCTGGCATTTCCTTTGGAAATCCCCTTTATTTACTCTGTCAAATCAAGATTCAACCACAGAAGCTAATGGTTTAGGAAGTAGGGGAATCATAATGTTAAGCTGCAGAGAGGTCAAAGGCAGGTTAACAATTCCTGAAACCTATTGCTGCTATGATGTTACCTGTGCTTGATCACTTAATCTTTCTCAACGGGTCATAAGAAGTTTGCCAAATTAAGTTAATTACAAAAGAGAAGGAACACATCATAAATCAAGTGCTAAGTACCTAAGACAGCATTGGTATTTGAAGGGAAGATCAGTCACATGAAAATGTATTGAGTGCTTAGATGTTAATTGAAAGTACTTTATGTTTTAATAGTAAATGTTCGTACTTTAACCGTGGGGAAAATAAGTAATATAGTTATAATAAACCTATCCTCATAAGAAACACTTACTTATCTAGTAAAGATTTACTTATCTAGTAACCTAACCCCATAAGAAATACTTCTCTAGTAGTGTTAAATCAAACTGATAAATGATGGGAATTGTCAGTCTGGTTAGAAGTCATTTTGAAATTAGCATGGGGTAGTCAACAGTGGTTCCCCCCACTGATTATGTGTACTATATTGAATTTAATACACTCTGAATTTGATTTAAATATACAAAAATAGTATTTAATGTATTATATTTTGTTTTCATTGTAAAATCCAATTTAATCTAGAAATGCATATTTTAAAACATGTTTACATCATTGTGATATGTAACAAAGTTTTTTTTGATAGTTCTTTACTGCAGAAGCATATTGCCTAGTCAACTAATAAATCTGGAAAAATTTAAAGGATTATGACAACTTTAAATGTTTAATAGAAAGTACTTTACATTTATATTTTACCTTTGTTTGAAAATATTTGATTTTATGCTAGTGATAAAATAGATGTTAAGTCTCATTAGCCATGAGAATGTAAGGTTGTGATTTTGAACCCCCATTGAAATTGACCCTAATTGCATTTTTTTAAAAATTAGTTTGCAGGTCGAAGTAAGAAGGAAACCAAATACTCTCTTAAGGCAGTCGAAGACATGTTGGAAACACTGCAGATTACCCAGTCTTAACGTTTCAAAAACTCTTTCACGGTACATTTCACAATTGCACAATTGAACCTATTGGCTTGTGACTTATGTACTAAATGCCCAGTGCTATTTATATGCTAATTTTCTGTTGAGGCATTTGTAAAGAATATGTTTATATAAACCTAAAAATGCCTTTCATTGCTAAGCAGAAAGATCAGGAAGGTCCATAGAAGAAGGATTTTAGAGTTATTGATTGTACATCATTCTCTTAATATCACACTGCTTTTAAACCATAATCTGATGTAGAAATGAACTCATTAAATAAACCATGATGATTTATTAAACTTGCATATGATGATTATAGTCTTTTTATTATACTTAAATAGTGAAGATATCATTTTAGAGCTCAATTCCTAGTTAGCTCTTTTTTATCTATGATAAGAAATACATAGCATATATAACTGAGCAAAATATTGGCAAATTATCTCAACTCCTTTAGTGTCAGGTTGAATTTTGCTCTGTTTCAGTAGGCTATTGTTTTATATACTAAAATATTATTCTGCTAAATCATGCTAAAATATGTAATTTTCCAAAATTTAGCAATCTGTCTTAAAATGTTTGTTTTTGCCATAAAACATAATTAGATTTTTAACCTATAAAATGCTTTAAGGTTCATATATGCTATGATATTCAAATTTAACCTTTAGGACAGTTATATTTATTGAACTTTTAACTGTAAATTACATTAAAGAATATTCAGAGATCTAGAGAATAGCAATGAAAGGGGTTTCAGTAACTGTTATTTTTTACTTTATGGCAAAATAAAAAAAACTTTTTAAAAGAAAAATGTTTACAATCTTTTCTCATTATCTCCTTAGTGATATAATAATTGAAATTTTTTTTCATACTAATTAACCAACAGTATTTTGCATGTTTTAATAGAATACAAAGAACTTTGAGAGTTAAACTCTTCATTCAGACATAATTTTTAGAATAGTCAATTATTCATTTTAGACAAATATTTACTGTATTAGTTTGTAATTCATATATATGTAACATATGTTACATATATATGAATTACAAACTAATACAGTAAATATTTTTCTAATATATATGTACATTAGTCATAATCCTATTTATACCAACATTATATAGAAACTCTTGCTCACTTGTCATTGCTGGATTTGGGCAAATGGGGATCGTGAAGGAATTGACAACCAGAAAGTTTTCAGGAAGAAAACTTGCCAAAACCAGCATTTTAACCTTTCGAATAACTCTGTTACTCTTCCTATCTAAGTCTAATTCTTTCACGTTACAGTCCTTTTCATTTTATTCTGTCAGGAGTAATGAGCAACTGTGTAAAACCTCTTCTCATATGAAAATAATTCTGAACTAATCTTTGTTATAACAAGATGTACTCCTTTTACACATAAATTTAGTAACTGCATTTTCAACATAGTCAGCCATTTAAAATTTATTTGCTACAAAGAAAATAGTGCCCGCATACTATTCCCACTACCTTTCTTCTCTCTAACCTTCTCCCATCAGTCACGAGAATAGTGTTTTCTTTAGCAATTACATTTGTGAAACAAGAAATTTAGTGCCTCATAACTGTCAGCCTTAGTTTCACTTTGTTTTGTTTTTTTGTTTTTTTAAATTTTAATACCTTCTTGCCAAGAATTTTTTCTTCAGTACATTGCTAATATGTAATAAATTTATAGACCTCCATTTTAATGTACTGATAATCCCATCATGGCAGACAGTTGCCTGTGCAACTATTACCTCAACTTCCCAGTAAATTGTATCCTATATTGTTGAGATAGGAGCAGAAATCCCTGTTCTTCAAGAGGATTAGGATCTTACCCCAACTCTAAGAGATGCATCAGATTGATTTAATATAGAAATGGCTTCATTCTTTATGTACTGTGACATGCCAGGCCTGTATTTGTGCTGTCTATTATGATAGCCATTAACTCCATGTGACTGTTGAGCTCTTGAAATAGGGCCAGTGCAACTGCAAAATTGAATTTTTAATTTAATTTCATTTAAGTTTAAATAGCTGAATGTGACTCATGGCCACCATTTAGATATCAAATGTGTGGGCATATGATCTAATTGATGTTAATGAAATGAAAGACTTAGCAAGGGCCTTCCTTTCAAATTAAAAAGGCAAAGTTATGTGAGATGAGGCTTTTTGCCTCTTTCTCCTCCTTCTGGCCAACAATGTGCTTAGAGGTACAATAGCCATCTTATAACCATGAAGGGGCAAATATGAGAATGAAAGCTACATTTCAAAGAAGTTTTCTTAAATTAGAGGGATCCTGAACCTACATGAATAGTTGCCAATCTCTGTACTTATTATGTAAGAAAAATAAACTCTTGATTTCTCTTATTTTAGTAATATATATTTCTGATTAATTGTATCTACTATTTAACTTTAAAGAAAAAATTGATCTGAGAGAGAGGGAAAGAGAAAAACATCGATTTGTTGTTCCACATATTTATACATTCATTGACTTGCTTTTTGTATGTGCCCTGACCAGGGGTTGAACCTGCAACCTTGGTGTATCAGGACAAAGCTCTCTAGCCCACAGAGCTGCCAGGCCAGGGCATTTTTTTTTAAAACATGAAAAACTTATTTTAGACATTCTAGGAATGCTATTTAAGAATATAATCACTTCAAGTCTAGATAATTAGATATAACATAAGTAATATTTTGTTGCAATTTAGCACCCAGTTTTTAAGCCAACAGAAGTGAGAAAAAGGCATATTAAAACAGCTTTAACCATAAGGATAATATTGACTTGAGAGCAGAGAGGGATGTAGAAAAAATAAATGGAAGACCAATGTATACTGGAAGCATACAATTTTTATTGGCAAATATTCTAAAGAATGATTTTCTTCTAATGCCATCATCCATTTATTCTCAAGGTAACATCATTTTACTTCATTTCATAGAACTATAGGTTTTAGAAGGGAAAAAACAAAAAAAGATGACTTAGTTGTACCCCATTTTAAAATGAGAAATGAAGTTTTGAGCAATTAAGCTCACAGTGACAGAGCAAGGAATAGGATCAGGATGTCCGGCTCCCAAGTTTAGTTCTCTTTCTAATGTACTGTGAGTCATATACTTGTTCTTTGATATATTGTCCCCATTTTAGAATAACAAAAGTAGAGCCAGATATATTCAAGGGACATTGTTAGAGCAGGGAAGCAAATTCCAATTTTATAATTTGTTTTTAAACAATTTTTTACTGGAATAATAAAGACCAATTTTATTTTGAACTGAATAAGTTATTCATTTAAACTGTTACTTCATTTATAGTCAACGTGAGAACTATTTTAGACCAGAACTATTTTAAACTTCTTTCACTTTGAACCGCTGATGTATGCTATCTCTCTTTTTACTCTTGGTTAGTAATCTCTTGTTATAGGCTGAATTGTGTTTCCTGCAAATTCATGTTGAAATCCTAACCCTCAGAAAGTGAATATTTTTGTAGATACAGTTCATGTAAAATTAAGTCATATGGTTTAACCCTAATCCAATTGATTGACCTTTATAAGAAGAGATTAGGATCCAGACACGCAGAGGGAAGATCAAGCAAAGACAAAGAGAAGATATCCATCTGTAAGTCAAGGAGCAATTCTCAGAAGAAACCAACCCTGCTGGCACCTTGCTCTTGGACTTCTGGCCTCTAGAACTGTGGTGAAATAAATTTCTGATGTTTAAGACACCCAGGTCTCTGTGTACTTTGTTAAGGCAGACCTAGCAAACTAATAACAGCTTTCTTACTATTTTTCAAAGAAAGGGAATCAGATGAAAACCCACCCAGGATCACATATTCTTGTACCCAGTTTTACCTCTTTTCCTCTTATAATCAAGTAGCCATACCCTTTTCTGAGCCAATTCCCACCACTGTCCCTTCATTTTTATACTTTAACTGTACTTCACTTTCATGCATTTGCCATACTTTCTCCTACCACAAAGCATCCTGCCTTCCCTCAGACCTCTCATCATCTCATTTCTTTACACTTAAACTATTTTCTTCATTATGCTCTCTTATTTTAACTAGATTCTTCCCAACACCCTTCCCATTATTCTTTCGAAATAGTTTAATTTCATGTCACCAATTTAATGGACCTTTTTAGTCCTCTAAACAATTTTATGCTCTTATTTATTGCAAATCTGTCTCCTTCTTTATTTCCATTGCCCCCACTCTCTGAACCCAAGAACCATTCCCTGATTTCTGGACAGTAGCCAGATGGCTGGATTTCCTGTACTTTTTACTTCCTCCCAGTCCATTCTCATAGCAGCTAGAATGTTACTAATATCACTAAAGAGGCCAGTTTATACTTTTCCTCATTAAAATTCAGTTGTTTTTCATTTGCTGATCTTTGGCCTTTGAGGTTCTATATAGTATCAGAATCAGGAAGAAGGATTCGGATTTTTATTTAAGTACTAGAGGCCTGGTGCATGAATTTGTGCATGGGTGAGGTCCCTTGGCCTGGCCAGTGTTAGGGATGATCGGGACTGTCTCACCAGTCCTGATAGGGGCTGGCCAGGTGGAGGGACACAGGAGGTTGGCTTTGGCAGTACACTGACCACAAGGGAGCAGCTGCTCCTGCATATAGCGTCTTCCCCCTGGTGATCAGTGCATCATCATAGTGACCTATTGTAACTGTCACTTAGGCTTTTATATATTTAGATAAACTGTCTCCCTATCCCCTCTATTTCTAAATTTATCCATACTTAAATTTCATGGAGTTGTCATGCCTTTTTTTTTTTTTTTTCAATATACTTGGTCCTTTTGTATAGACCAGCAACCTCCTGAATTTTTAAAACATGCAATACTTGACTATCCAGAAGCACTGACCTTTTTTCCCTTAGATTATTAAAAAAAAAAAAAAAATCTCCAAGAACATTTTGTAACTCTAACAAGTGAGTTTAGCAAGATCACAAGATACAAGGCCAACAAAGACCAATTGTATTCCTATACACTAGCAATAAATAATATATAAAAATATTAACTATAAAATTTTAA